AGCAGCCCTATTTCCCTGAGGACGATCCCTGGAACAACTATCAAAGCTGAGATGCCTGAGCCGGCCAATATAGCCAAGCATTTGTAGTTACTTTGTTTTCTTTGTCCACTTTTCATCTTTCATGATTTCGGGTTTTTCATGAGCTTTCACCATGGTCTCCCATCATTTGTGGACCAGTATGCTACCCAGCCTTTTGTGGACTTGCTTTCATGCTGCGACCTCTCGCGGTTTCACCCAGCACCCCGAAAAAACCTGTGCAGTCGATTCTATGACAGGCATACACTCTCACAACTGAACAGGAACCTCCTTCCGATTTTTCAGCCACAGTTGGCGACACCGCTTTGCAAAACGGCTTGAGACCTTGAATTTTTCCGACATGTGTTTACTCAACTTTTCAGTTGATTGCATCCGCACCGCCACCACAGCTTTCTTGCTCGAACTTTCCGCTTCCTACTCTTTCACTTTCAGAGACTTTGACATCATGGACGCGCAGTGGCAACAATTCTACTGGCAGCGCTATTTACTCCAACAACAGCAACAACAGCAGCCAACAACACACCCGAGCCAGGCCACTCACCAGTATGCCTGCGCAGGCGCTTACGGACCTATGACCCATTCCGTACGCACCCAACAGGCCCACCACCACCACCACCACCACCACCACCACCACCACCACCCATACACTCCTTCGCCTTCCACCTCACAGCCGGCACACACTCCCTGGCCTTCTACCAACCAGCCTTTCCCATCACCACCACCACCACCACCGCCACTTCCAACTGCAGCTCCTACCACTCCCAATGCAACATCCTTCAAGCGCAGCCCAGCTCACTCGACTCCACCAGCACCGCCATCAACCGTTCCTTTTCCCCAACCACCGCTTCAAGACTCTTGGCATTCCACAGATTTCCACTGGGACTCTAATGCTCTACATGGCCATCAACTTCACCGCACCATACAACCCACCCAATGGTCACGCCGCGTCGGCGTCGCTGGACTTCCCACCTTCGATGTTTTCCCGTGGCTCCTCACGTACCACGGTACGGCCGATTATACAGCCAGGACTCTCAGCCACGGGAAATATTGTGGCCTCATTCCAACATGCAGCATAGCTGAGTCCGTTTTCACAACCCACCTATTACAAGAAATTCGGGACAAGCGCCTTGACCTGGACGCGATCGCTGAAGCCCTCCACACATCCCAAGGCACTGCAGTGCCCAACAAAACCACCAAAGCAGCCGCTGAAGGTTCAGCCCTTCGCGCCTTGAAAGCCACTTCTGAGGACCTGGCCCGAGCCCGAGAGAAGCTCCAAGCCCACGGCATCGAACTCACACCCCGCAAAGAGCCCGGCCGCTCTTCCACCCCCAGTGCACCAGCCGCTCCAGCAGAACCAGCCGCACACAAACCACGTGAGTTGTCAGATGTCCTCCAACCACCGCATCCGTCTTTAAAAGACGATGGCCCAGAATCGTGGACAGCTCCAGCCATTCAACAATGGATGCGCAGCTTCGACCCAGCCATCCAAGAATCGGCCAAAGAAGTGCTTCGCATTTTTCAGACGAGCAAGGTAACTACTGACCAATTGAAAGATTCCGCCGCTCGATATGGTTTGCCACTCACCCGCGTCAACAAACTCACCATCAAGAGCTTGCAGCACATTGTCAGTACAGGGGCAGCCGTGGCCTGCTGACTCTCTCTCTGCAGCCAACAACTGCCGCATAACAACCACTTGCAACAACTCTACCATTTACACAGAGCCCTTTCCACACTCATTCACAAAAGCCAATACATCGAACGCGCTGAAGCCATCTTCGCTGTCGGCCTCATTCACATTACCCTCCTCTTTTGCTATCCCTCCTCTACGCAACGATCTCAACAATGGCGACAACGCTTGCGACACCTCCAAGTGCTGCCTCACGCCTACCACTACCACAACTTCCGGTCCCCCCAACTCCGTTTACGTCAAACTCCACTCCAACACCCTCGCTCCGCAGCGGTGTTACCACCAACACGGCCACTTTTACGCGGGCTCCACTGCCATTGGCGTACCCCATAGAGAACACAATCGCCGAGCCAAGCTCAAACAACTTCAAAACAACGTCCCAGTCTCCGCTGAGCTATCATTGCGCTACTGGCATTCACATGACAACATTCATCGCTTCAGCGCCATTCAGCTCTCGTCCCACGACAACTACGATCAAGCATGGATAAAAGAACATCACTTCATCTCCAACTGGATGCCACCCCTCAACTGGCCGTTTATCTCCCAACACCTCAAGCTCAAGGCCGAGGGATGGCAATTCACAAAACACCGAGCACACTTCTACTCTCGCCTAGCCACTCACAAGCGGCTCTTTCGCAAACTACGCAGACGACAGCAGACGATCAGAGAACCGTACCTTTTTACCTCCACCAAGCATCAAGCCTTGACTCTTCTCCGCAATCTCACCAAGCATACTTTGGCCTCCTTTGAAGCAGCAAAACAACTTCGCAGCGGCCGTCACACAGACCTCGAAGTGTATGCCATCAGACGTATGGCCTCCAATCTCGAAGAGCCAGGTCGTAGCCGAGCCCTGCGCATTATCAACAAAGCACTTCACTACAGAAATTTGACACCTCCCAAGCCCAACATTCCCCTTACCATACCATTCCTGGCTCATGACGATTTCACCAAGCACTGCCAGCAATGGCTACAAACCACCATCCAACAACGCAAGCATTTAGCCATTCCACTCCACCTCCCCACACATCGTCTTCGCGAAGCTGCCACAAAACACTCCGAGCACAGCTTCACAACCATCGCGCTTGGGAAGATACCTTGCGCACACCTCCAGATCCTAATGACCTGCCGTGTGCTTGCTCCCATCTTAAGACTCTTCTCCACCAACGACGACCTTGTGGGCTTCTTCAACTCAGTGCCCCAGCACCGCCTCATCGACGCAGTTCACTCTGTGATTCAACAATGGCACGCCAAAACATTACACACACTTTAACAGTTGACACCAAGGCACCTACAAACAAATCCGAGGGGCTGGGATTGGCTCCCAACTCTCTCCTGCCCTCTGCAATGTTGCCATGACCCTTATCGAACACTCCTGGCACCAGCTCCACAACAACTTTCTCCAGCGCACAGCCCGCCATTTTACTTACTACAGATACGTCGACAACCGCTTTATCGCGCGCAACGAACACTTCCTCTTCCACCCGGCCACACAGACTCTCATTCACCACAACTTTTTTGGCGATCCAGCGGAACTGGAAACAGTCGACGACTTTCACCTCCTGGGCTTTAACATTGACCTACCACAACGCACCATCACCCACATCCAACCCACGCAACCCTGGAAGATCAGGGATCCCACCAGCGCCGGTAGCCAGCGCTTGGCTCTGTCCGGCTTAGCTTCCAGACCCCACGCAATTTACACATACACCTTTCCACCAAACACCGCAGCGGCAGCGGCTGAAGAGCTTATCCGGCTGTACGTCCAAAAAGGACCAGTCGACGCCACCTTCTCACATGCCTGCGCCGACTTCAACCCCTGTTCCTAAGGGTCCTTTGGTTCTTTGTTCTGCACATGCAGGGGAGTGGTGCGCGGTCTTGGAGTCACCACTCAACGAAGACACTTCACCGCCCGCGGTGATATCCGGAAGGGACGCCTTCTGGACGTACCTGCAACTACTTTTTGAACTGTTGGACAAGTTGTCTACTACGGTGTTTTCTGCGGTTTCCCACCGCAGCTTTCAGCCGCTTGTGAATTGCAGCCAGCCGCGCGAGTGAAGCACTTTTTCAACAATTCAAGTCACCTCACTATTTCGCCTTGCCGTTCCACCACCTTCCTTCTCAACTTGGGAACTGAGTTAACAGCAAACCCATGTCAGAGTGTGTGTTTTTTTTCCCGGTGGTTTGTGCGGCTTTTGGTTTTTGATGGTTTGTGTGGCATTGGGTTGGCTAGGTGTGATGGTTTGCTTTTGGTTCTCGTGGAGTTTGTTGGATTTTGATGGCTAGGTTTAGGTTTTGATACAGTAACATTTTTTTTGGCATTTTGTAATTTTTTGGTGTGTTGGAGGGAGGCGTCCTCCCCACAACCCCTCCAAATTTTTCAAGCCAAGCGAAGGCAACCAAAGCCAAGCCCAAGCAGTTTCGGGTAGGATTTGGGGCACGGGATGACCCTCGCCACCACTGAAAAACTGCAACCTCTTTAGGGGCACCGGGGGCTCAACTGACTGCTGGGAACCTTCCCGAACCCTCATAGGGAGCAACCTGGCAAAACAACAGAACAAAAAGGAACAACAAAGACTTCCAAAGCTAACATTGCAGCGTTTTGGGAGCGCCTGGGACGCTGAAAATTTGGAGTGGCATGGTGAGCTTCATAAAGTTGGAGGGTTGGTAGTATGAGGACGATGGGGGGGGAGGTTGTGGAGGATGGTTGCCCTGCAGCTCCATGCTAGAGGGAGGGGTGTGCCGACATTTCACCCATGATCAGTTCCCTTTCCCAAAGGGAGGGGTTCTTTCTTTTGCTTTATGATCGACTTCAAAGCAAAAGAGGTACTTTGCTCAACAGCCCTCCCAAACATGTGGATCTCGGCAACTATTCTTCGTGTCGACCCCACTGCTATAAATTCAATTCAATCCTTACTTTTGCTTACGACGACAACCATTGTTTCCAGTTTTCACAGTGATTTCGCATGCCTATGGTCCTATGGTCTTCCAAAGCCAACGCACCTTACCACTGCCTGCCACAGGCCAGTCACCTGCACAAAGTCACGTGGCCCTCCACAACCTGAATGCAACGGTTCCCCTGGCAAACGATAGGGGACTCACAAAAAAAACGACGATCTTTAATATGGTTCCAAAACATTGGAATACTCAGGACTCACAAATCTGAGGATTCAATAGCCGCACATAATAGATGGATGGATGTGGATGGATGGATAGATGGGCGTTTTATACCGAAGTTAGAGGAATGGGGTTTTGATTTCCAAGAGACTTGGGGGCCAAGGCACAGCTGGTTTGTACTGGCTGATGCCCCCCCCACGCTTTTGGACGCTTTCCGCCAGGCAGAAAGTGTTTGCGAGTGTTTGCTTGCAAGAATCGTGCTGTGCTATGGATCGGCCACGCCCCCGCCACAGGGCGGTAACTCTCCCTCACGCAAGCAAAAGCGGAACAGCGAGGCAATCACCAACAGGCTACTGGCATACTCTAGTTTCTTTACAGCAGCTGTGTGTGGTGTGAACTTGAATAGCTCGCAGGTTAGGCCTATGCTCGACATCGTCCGGGTAACATTCGACAAGGACTGACCTTCTATTGATTCCTTGGTCGGAATTAAGTAAATTGATGTATGTTCACCTTTATTTGTGCAAGCTCCTGAACAATCTATTTATTCTTTTGGCCCACTTGCAGGGATCGAGCAGCTTACTCTACTTGTCCGTGCAAGCTGCCTTGCTTTCCTTCTTTGGCTGTGACGATGTCACATACGACCTATCATTGGAAGTCTTCACGGTGCCAGCTGCAAGACACCAATTGTTTCAGACGCGCGCTTGCTTTGTCAATCAGACAATGTACGTTGTCTATGCACAAATTGTACACATATCATAAACTCGCAGAACATACTGCAGCTAATTCAATGAATGACAAATGTAGTGGAGGCTGCGGCTGCGCAGTCAAAATTCATGTCCCTGAAGCCTTGGACGGACTGAGCCACGGTCCCATGATGGCTTTCAACATCGACACAATGTTCCAGCTTTTGACCTTTGAAGCCACTCCTCGCAGCCAAGTTTGGCTCAAGAGGGAGACATAGACTCCAGCGAGGCAAGCTGGATTTTGAAGCCCCCCTCTAAGTTTTGAAAAAGGCTTTCTATCTCGGCAAGCCCGTGGCCAAGCTTCAGGTGTCACTTCAAAATGGCCGAGGTTGGTTCAATCGTGCGATTTGAACATGGTTGAATGAACCTGAAATAGCGACCTGCTTTGGAAGCTCATAATTACATATCCGACATATCCAAGATTCCAGACAGGAGAAACAAGACAGTATGTAAGTTATTCTTTCAAAATTGTGTTTGTGAAATATAGAGCTTGTGACGAACATTTGTCATATTTTTTGTATAAATCCTACAGTTGGGGTGCCAGATTCTTTCTGCCTTTCTGGGATCGTTCAGACATAACCACCTCCTTGACCTGTTGCTTCTCCTGTCAAACCTGTGTTAAGCCCAACACAGGGCGCGTCACCAAAGACGCAAAATGATAGCCAAAATGACGGAATCCACGACCCAAAGCTTGTCCACCCGGAGGGCACCATGCAAAAGAAACGGTCCACCTATGGCATAACTTGCTTGTGTCAGTCCACTACAGAATGACAAGGAAACGCCATGTACGCATGGAACATATAGAAGTTTATTTTGTAGCCTCATGTCACATGTCTTCACATAAATAGTCAATCTGGGTTGCTTTCCTTTTGCTTGTGTTTCTCGATGTTTCTGGAGTATTTGTTCTCCAGTCTCACCTTCTGTATTCGTATCTTCTGTTTTTTTTGTTGCCCCATCAATTTGCCGAGCTGAAGCGCAAGTTGTTTCTGAGTCTGCTATTCTTGTTAATCTCGTTAGTTTGTGTCCGTGTATGGCCTCTAGTTGTTGATAGTTATCCTGCTCATTGTTGTTATGCACTTGATGCTGGATGCTGTGCCACATGACCATTCATTCCTTTTGTTCTTTCCTGAATCTCTTAAATCGTTGAAACAGTTTGGGCTGGCCTTTTCATCCCAGTTTCAACTCGCTGAACTGTCTGTCGATGCTGTAACAGGCTTTATCCATTGAAGAGCCACTTGACATGATCCGGTCTGGATCCCGTTGTTCGATTTGCTGGCCCTCTCTCTAATCTTACCTCCTCAAGACGACGATTTGAGGCAAAACCTTGATGAGAGGATCTTTGTAAAATGCCGTGGAGATCGCGAGATCCGGGGCAGGCGGAAGTGACAATTGCTGGACTGATATCGGAAACAAACAGATGTACACGAGGTTGCATGCCTATGACCAGCACCTGAACATGGTCCTCAGTGAGGTTGAGGCCAGGTTTGCAGTCGTCAGAAGGCTTGATACAGCGCTAAAAGCCATCAACACAAGCAAGGAAATCTCCTACGTCAGAGAGGAGGTCCCTGGAAAGGAGAGCCAATCTATTTGAGTTTGCTCTGAATGTTTTTCTGTTTTCGGAAAAGATTTGGCCACTCTCACAGGACGAGCCTGAATTGAAGCCACAGAGAAGGGGCATTGAAATGATTTTTGCTTGTCCCTGAGCAAGGGGAACAGACACGTCTGTTGTACAGGTTATTTGATACTATTCACTGCTTTGATGATATCCAGGTCAGAGGAGACTCGGTCATATTGGTGCCAGGAGCCCAAACGACTATGCTGACTCACTGAGTGTTTTTTGGAAACTATTTGTTTCAAAACTGGAGAAGATTGCAGATTGCATTTTAATGCAACCCACATACCAACCATCCACATTCTTTCTCCCACCACTTTGCTCCCTGCATCTCGTGAGGTCGCCACCACTCAAAGGCCAATGAGGCAGGAATCACACTTGATTTTGAAGTGAGTTTAAACAGCTGCATGCTCCAAGATTCAATTCTTTCCAAAAACACATGAAGCAACTCATTCCTTCCAATGTCAGTGCTTCATGCTGTAGGTCTGGGCGCAAAAAAAGGAGAAAGCTCCGTGCCTTGTTCACTTGCACCCCTACCAATTGTACTGTTTGCTGAATGCAGCAGACGGGAAGAATGTCAAATATGCAGGCTGGACTGGACTAGCCATTGCTGAAAGCAAATTGCTGAAAGCAACAAGAAATAAACCAGCTCTTGACACTGGTCATTGCTGGCGCTGGCTGCAGAGCCAGTGGCCAGTCTGGTCTTTATAGGAACAATGATGAGTAGATTCTGCAAAAAAGTACTGTACCAGTGAGAGTGCGCCTGTGTACCGGTTGCATCCCTTGCCTTTGTCTGACCTTGTGGAGGCAACATGAATACAAGATAATTCTTGTTCAGTGTGCCGCATTGCAAACTGGCTGGTCTATTTTGCAAGTATCTGAGAAACAAGACACACGCGGACATTAGGAATTGTAAGCTTTGCAAGCTGCCCATGAGTAGCGTCACTAGCAAGCAGATTTCATCAGCATCAAGAGCAAAGTCCTACTGTAAGTGTAGCAGCAGGGTCTGAAGCTGCCAAGCTCCGACAAGAGTGTCACGTCTATCGTTTGCAGCCTCAATCGTATGGTTTCGCCCTTTCGCCAACTGAGACAGCGAGTTGCGACACTTGCTTGCGATTCAGTTGCGTCACTTTGGACTTCAACTCCTTTGTTCACTCTTTCGGTTTGTCCTTGTTGGGAGTAATCCAGGAGTGTCCGACACAGCGGCCTCGCCTGGCTCCAAGGCTGTCTCCCTAGCTGCAAACATGTTGATATGCGTCGGTTTGAGGTGCTTCAATGGAAGAGAAAGTGCGCGTCTCAATGCACCAGAGCTGGTTGTGGGTACATGTGGATGGTTGGCCGCGCGCAATTTCTTCAACCGACTCGGCAATACTAACTGGACTTTCTCGCATTGTTTGAGGTTTGGTTGGATCCAACCGGATCAGATGCTGGACCACCCAGAAGCATTCAAGAATAATTGGAGGAGCCGAACGTATGTCATCATTTTGAAGGATGTCGCAACATGAACCAAACTGGGAGGATTTACGTGAATGCACTGGATGTGAAGGGTGGCATCCTGCACAGCGGAGCCAGAGTGTGGGGGCACCAATGTATTTGAGGCCAAAGATAATACCCTTCATGTACTTGGCCTCATCGCTGCACCGCTGCACTGACAACACCACTCAGGTCCTTTTTTGTTTACAGTGATGGCAAAGGTCTTGGAGCTGAAGATGTCCAGCTGGACTGTGCAAGCCGAAGAAAGATGTCGTTGTTGTTTTTCCCAACGCCATAATGGAGTTGGGTTTCAATCTCTGGGGCTGGGAGTGGTACACAGTTTGTCTCTGCCCGAAAACGGGAATTCTAAGGGTGCTGCTAGGTGCCGTGATCGGACTTCCATGCTGGGACCTTGGGGCTGTGTGATCAGACTTTCACGTTGGACCCTGAGTGTTGTTGGGAGCTGTAGCCCTCTTTTCTGTTACTGTAGGTGCTTTGATTGGACTCGGCTTTCACGCTTGTGCTGACTGTCTTCGTTACGACTCACTCTTTCTACGCAGTAATGCAGTATTTGGGCAAAGCAGTACGGCAAGCTTTTGTGCGTACACTATGTGTTTTGCTCCTTGCTCCCCAGCTCAGATCCCCCAGTCCCGGTCAATCGAGTTGCTACCTTGCAAAGCTGGTTTTTGGTTTTGACAGGGTGGGGGAGGGTAGACCGTGAAGAGGAGAGGTAGGTAGCCTCGCTGGTAGTAAGGTGTCAGTCGTAGCAAGACAGCTACTAGCTTGGACACAGAAGAGCCCTTGCATGACACATTTGGTTTCTACAATTCAGGGAAACTTAACTTACATTTTGGGTTCTTTGACCTCTTCGAGAAGAAAGGCTGACCAGAGTCTGCGGCCGCACCCTGTGTCCGGGTCCGGGGGGTGTCCTTTATGTCCGTACCTATGTTTCCTTTGTGTTTTTTGTCGGTCTCTCCAATGTTTCTTTTGTGTTGTTTGGAGGTGGGGCGCCAATTGCGGCGCCAATGACCTACAGCGTTTGATCTAAGACAACAACAGTTCTTGCTGATAAGACTGTTTGGGCATACGCTGGTAAATGCTGATATAACTTTTTGTGCAAGAGTAAAGTAGATAAATGCAGTGCGTTTGTGGCCAGGTGCCCATTGATTGAGCATGTTTGAGCAATTGAATAGCACTCTCGCATACTCGAACTTATATAACTCCCAAATGTGACTCAGAGATGTTCCATCAAAAAGCGAAGGACGACTCTACCACAAACGAGCTTCCTACTGCTTGCGCACAGGAGGGCAAGAGGACCTGGACTGGTAAAGGTGTGGCTGCTGGAAACTTATTTCCTGTGAAGCTTGGTGACCAGCATGAGACATGGTGACTTGAAATGACATGCATTCCATTCGACGGCAGCTTTGCAGCTTTGGCTCTGAAAGAGTCAACAGTTTCATGGCTAGGAAAGAGTCGACCTCGTCCTATGTAAGAAGTGGATTGTGGGACGGCCACTTCCGTGGTTCAGATGCAAGAGAGGGTCTGGTGTTACGGTCAGAGCGCAGAGTGTCCAGTGCTCCACTGCGCGGTTCACCTGAACGTGGCCGCTTTGGGCG